AATTTCGCGCTTTCGTTTTATGTGGCATTTCTGCTGGATGTACTCGCTTTCACGGGGGAAGCAGATATTTTTTCGTAGGCATGTCGGGCCTTTTGGCAATTTTTGCTTTCATGATTATTGATGCGGGTGAAATTTAATTGGTCGCCTTCTATCCGTTGAAAGCCCACAAGCCTGCGTCCGCCCCTTATTAGATAATATTTTTCCAGACTAACGAGTTGCAGTCGCGTTCCAGGCACATTGGACCACTTGAGTCGAGTCGAGCCGCTGGGGATGATTGAGGGCGCTGGGGTAATGCCAATTTGCCGACCCAAGAATTGCGCCCTGCGAAAAGCGGAAACAATTCTTTTGACCGCCTCCCTGTTTCTTCCTCTTCAGCCAAAGTATTTCTAGCTCGGAAACTTTAAAAGAGTTGCCACGTATGTCTGCGCCAAAAATTTGTTTAAATAAAAGAAAAACTTTTCTTATTTCGCGCAAAGCTCTCTGCCGAAAAAACGAGTGTGCAACAACAAACAAATAAGCGCAAAGAAAACTTCGACGCCGATACAATTTCGTAAAATGTCGAAAACTGTGATTGCGTGGCAGACAGCAGGGCCAACTCCCTCCAGCTCCTTTGGCATTCAGCTGCTTTTCTGCCTCGGCACGCCCTTCGAAAGACGCAAACTGCTTGAGCGCCCAACTTTGAGTCAAATGTAAATACTTTTCCCGGCAAATATTATCACAATTCCACGCGGCTGCTGCCAGAGACACTAAATAAACTGTTGGCTTGGGTCGCAGCCGAAAAGTAAGCAGCAGGAAATATCCTGCAATTGCAATCAGGGCGTCAAGCGAAGGGGAAGAGCTGGGAGTGAGGGGCTTTCGGGCGGGGAAGTAGGTAAATTCTTTCGATAAGCTCTGCCATCGATGGCCTTTCATATCCGCCACTAACCGCACTGACTGAAACCCGCTCATCGTGAGCCATATCCCATTTCCATGCACAATTAGGCGGCGTAATGTGACGGACAAATTAGCCAAAATCCCTCTCAGCCGGCAGCCGTTCCATGTGCACACACTGGAGGCGCATAAAAATTCATGTCCTCGAATATTGCGCATACGCCGCGTGGCGCAGCGCTGCACAGCGATAAAGTTCAAGTGCCCTGCAATGGACGACCACACGGCCATCGTTTGGCGTGGATGGGCAATGACTAGAACATGGCTCGCCGCATCTGCATCGATTGGCCCTGAAAGGGGTTTACGGTTCCGGGGAACTGATATCGGGGTTCCGGGTTCCGGGTTCCTCAGATCCGAGGGCTGTCAGAGGCGACGCTTTGCCATATTAATCTGGTTAATGATGAAACTGAATCAGCGTTTTAAACGAGCCACTGCACAATGAAGTGCTTGCTCCTGCTGCTGCTCCTCTGGTCCTGGCTGCTGTGTCGCATAAATGGCCCAGCCTGCAAATAAATTAGCTGCGGCTTTCTCTCGCCTCTCGACCACTGGCCATAAAGTTGCCATTCTCGGCGATTTTTTCCCGGTGCAATGTCCCATCCGCTGTTGACTTGAATTTAAGGCAACTTTATCTCGCCGGGCAGTTGAGCTTCGGTTGCATATTTTATTGCCTTGTTTGCGGACGGCATTCCCGTCCAGCTTATTCAATCAATGCCTTAGTGGGGTAACTTAAAGCAGCGCCCGCTTAAATGCCCTACGCTCCATTGCTTTCCATTGCCACGCAGGGCCCGAAAAATTGCTCAATTATTCAAACGAATTTCACGCATTTAATTGTGTAAATTTAGCCAGGCATGACAGACTCTGCACTCACTCACCCACCCACTTGCCCACCAGGACATCAGGATACCAGGACTCTGGACCACCCACCACCCACCATGTCCGTGGAGTCCGAACGGGTCCTGATGTGCGTCGGCTAACGGTACGTAACGTCATAATCACCCCGAAGCGCACGTAATTGGCCAATCAATTGTGTCATTGTTCGCATTTATTACGCGGCCTTTCGGACTCGGCCTCTGACTCCGGCTCCGGCTCCAACTCCACCTCCACCTCCACCTCCACCTCCACATCCACCTCCAGATCGCAGTCTGTCTGGGCCGAGGCCCACCGTGATTTATGTGGGAGGTTGTGGGCGGGAAGGGTCCAAGTGTTAGGCCTAACAGAAGAAAATTAAGAAGAGCGAAAAAGCTGCAAATGAGATCGTGCAACAGCAGTTGCCATGCAGTTCTTGTTTCGCCCTGCTGTGGGTTTGTTTTCGCCTCTTTTTCCTGTTCCAGCTGTAACTTTTTAACAAATGCACAAAACGAATGACAACTTCCGGTTCCGGTAGGGGAACCTCGGTGGGCTTGTGGGCCGGCTGTCACTGCGAAAAATTACATGCCTTGCGCAAAAGTTTTGCCTCTTCATTATTCTAACATCAAGTCGACACGAGTTGCGGTTTTTGCAATTTTTCTTCGACTTCCCGCCCCCGCCCACGTCGCCGCATTCTTCTCCAAGGAATTTCTGCACAGTCAGACAAAGTGTGAAGCGAGGCACAAACTTCTTCTTCGGCGCACATGCTGCCAACTCGGAGACAGCGGCTCAGACGCCCAGTGAACGGGAACGGAGGAAATTATACGCTGCATTTTAATCACAATTCAAATCAACGGAATCATCGTCTTTATTCCGAGCAGCAGGCGTCTCGGCTTGTGTGGAAGAATGTTCCCAAGTGGAAGGGGAGCGGTGACAATTTTGGAGTCCTGCACTCCGGTCGTTATAAACCCTCCGCGAGTTGCAAGAGGGTTAAAGTCGTTGGGACCCGTGCAGACCAGGCCAATGTAGAACAAAATTAACTGGCTATAAATGGCCCTAATTTGCAGAGCGCAGTTCAGTTTAATTCATGCAGCGCTTCCGACTCATTTACAATTACCCATGTTGTTCGAATTCCTCCGCGCGTAAACATTTGCAAAAGAAATTGAGCATGCGATTGCCAATTGCTGTGTTGGGCAATCCAGTTAATACAACTGGCCTAAGAGCGTGGTTGTTTTATTAACTGATCTGATTGCACAACTTCATGGTTCAAAGGGACACATAGCTGGAGGAGCAGCACGAGCACCTTCGAATCGATGGGAAAACTTTTGTCCGACGTTTTGCGGGTGATTTATTAAGGGGAGGTTCTTTTCTTTTTTTTTGAAAAAATCGATTTTTTTTTTTTTTAATAAAATGAAAGTTACATATGTTTACAATATACGTGCCAAAGGTTATTTCGATACGACGCGTATTTCTTGAGCTAGAGCGTGTCAAACATACCCATGTCACATGCGCTGTGGTACGCTCTAAAAACTTTAAACGCGTTTTTCTCGGAACCATGTTTTCAAACCTCTTGTCGCGCACAGGGGTCGTTCTATTGATCCGATTTCCTTCATTCAAAAAATTTTTGAAAGTATATACTTTTTTGTATGCCTTATACCTAAAATTGGCATAAAAAAGTGTTTATTTATAATTTTTAAACGAGATCGAAGTAAAAAAAAAAGTCAATTTTTTTTAAGTGTCCATAAAATTGGTTTATTTTTACCAAAATTGATTCTAGTTAGGTATAAGGCATAGGAAATTCCATCAATTTTAATAAATAATTTACATTTTTAATTTCGGTTCACTACCAGCGGCCCGACACTCGACAAAGCAGAAAAATAGAGGTCTACGAGATCCGCCATTTTGAAGCCGCCATTTTGAATTTCCTGAATATTGAATTTTTTGTTTAATCGTTAATAAACAACGATTCAAAAGTTCAAAAGCATAAGTTCGTATGTCTTTTCATTTTTCCGCAATTAATTCTCAAAGTTTGCTTAATTTTCGAAAAAAAAGAAAAGAACCTCCCCTTAATGTGTAAGCCAATGCAATTTGCCAGCCTTTGACAGATGGCGATAAGCGCCGAACGAGAGCCCCAAAAACAGCAGAGAAAATGGAAACTGTCAAAATGGGGCAAAATCAATGACAGTTGCAACTCGGAAAAGTTCGCCGGTCCCAAAAGCGAACCAGACGGAAAGCCAAGTCGCTTCGATCGTATCGTATGCGGCAATTAGCATTTTGTGGCAATGTTGCAACAATAATTTAACGAGCCAGCAGGAGCTGTTCCAGGGAAAACTCGCACAAAAAAACGTCGAGGCCCCCCCGCAAACGAAAGGAGGAGGCAAAGAAAAAATTATTTGATTATCCTGCGGCCATGCGCTGTCACAATTTCGCAGACTGCCCGCCGAGCGTGTCGACTGAGCCCGGGCGGCGGCCCGAGTCCGCGTGTCCTGCCGTCTCGTGTCCTCGTGTCCTGCAGCAGCGCCACGAAAGTGCCACATCAGCGAAAGTCTGTTAACTTCCGGTTTATGGTTGCAGCAGCTTATGGAGTCATTTCCGCCCGCTCGCCCCTCCTGTTGCCCCCAGTTCCATTCATTCGACTCGGTCGCCAGGACACGGTGGCCAGCTGGCGGAGCCCGCAGACCATTCTATTAAATCATCATTTCACTCCGAGCCGCCTCCGCCGCACCTCCTTCGGCGCACTGCGCTTGCGGTAATTTCTTTCTCCCTTTTTCGGTTGCAAGTGCTTCCTTTAGATTTATAATTAAGATTTGGTTAGCAGCAAATAGCGGCTCTTTTTGAATTTATTCTGCCTTGTCGGTCGGGCAACTGCAGCTGCCCGTTAAGCGGTAATTTATCATATTTTTAGCGTCAGTCCCTAACAAATTACGAGTATATGGGTGGTCTGTGAGGGAGGGGGCAAAGTCGGTTGGGAAACTTCTGAACAGTTCTGCAATTTAATTACGCCGAGAGGCATATTAGAGAGCCACCTGAGTGGATCTGCAGAGTTTCATTAGCAGGGCACGGGCTCTGTTCTGATATCGAAGTTTCGACTTGAGCAGATCGGGTGAGGGGTTCCGCAAATGGACAGCTAATGAAGTTTTAATTGGTTCATTAAATGTGAAATGCGCAATCAGAGAACTGAAAGCCACTGGGTTCAGCCCACTGCACATGAGAGCTCACATCGAACAATGCTGGTGAATTGCAAAGCTCTTCTCGCAGGCTTGATCCTCTGCTCGGCTTGCAGGATTCTTTCCGGGCTCAAGGTGAGATCCGCAGACATCAGCTCCTTGCTGTCCATCTAACTCCTCCTCAGTCCTTGAACTACCTGCTCTTTCGGAGGATCGACACCAACTGCAACAGCAAGTACGTGTCGCGATACGAGGCAGCGATCAGTCCGGACTTCACCGCGGTCAACTTCACCCTGAACTTTAGGCGAAACATCACCGCGGACGTTTGGCTGAGGGCCATAATTGGGCAGCGGGTAGCCAAGACCGGCGACTCCTTCAGGGACGTCTTCACCTACAACGTGAACCTGTGCCATGTGATGGGCAGAGTCAAGGGCAACGGCCTGATCAACTACTGGCTGAACAACATCCTGAGGGAGTCCAACATGCCTCGCAACTGTCCCATAAAGAGGGTGCCGCTTAGTTTCCTCCGGGTGATCTTTTTGTTTGTAATATTCGATTTGCTTCCAGGGCAACTACCACTTGAGGAACGTTCGATCGGAAATGGAGGGCGTTCCGCGGTTCATTCGCTCGGGCAGCATAAGGGTGGCCTCCGCCGTGTATGTGAGGGACTGGAGCAACGTCAACCTGACGGGCACTGTCCTCTACCTCGAGATAAAGATGCAGTGAGTGGAGTTCGGTCCACGGGGATGGCGCAACTGGTCACATTAAAAAGCAATGAATCATTGAAGAGCTCAAATCTGCGCTGGCTAACACAATTTCTCACTTCCAATCGGGTGAATCGTTGCACGTGCATTTCGCATAAATAAATTAATGAGTCCTCCAACGAGGACACGGATCGGCCAGCGACACGGAACGTGGCTAGCCGTGCTGCAAGCTGCGATTTATACGAGTGCGCAATCTAAGCGCAAAATAATTTAAACACTGTCAATAATAGTTTGGGGACAAAGTATTTTTCCATTGAGGAGTTTGCCTTTGCCGCGCGTTCTTCGTCCTTCGTCCTCCGTCCTCCGTCCAGCTCCTCTCGACACGTTCGCACGCGCTGCGAAGGATGCCACGGGTTCGCTCCGTATTTGCCATCAATTGCACTTCCGCCAATGGAGTGGGGAGCAGCGAGCAATTTCTTGTATTTTGCCGGAAAACGGAGGAGAAAAACGCAGGGCCAGTGCAGTCGGAGTTGCTCTGAAACAAATGCTGGGGACAGTCGGAGGAGCTGGGGCCGGTGGGCGGATAACTGGAGAAGTGGCGTCGTGTACTCAAGGAAATTGCCATCATTATACTTGTCGCAGTGGCCGTGCTTTGTGTTAAATAACGTTTAATGTTTGTTTGCCGTGAAATTGATTTACAAAGGAAATCGCTCTGGCCCCAACAGCCACCCGGTGGGACTTATGAGCTTTGCCCTAAGACGGGTTTTCTATAAATTGAATCATCTGCAATCCATTCTTCGGTGGTGTTTCAAAGGCCTCCAATTACATGGATGGGCGGGCGATTGAGCTAATTAGGCAAAGCCTACATACCTGACTTTCGCTCATTCCCTGGCCCACACTCATTAGTCATCAGACAGGACCTCCGGCGATGTCAGGACCAGGAGCTGAATAAACAGGGGGCGCAATCATCACCACCTAACCTATAATTATACCAGCGGGATTCCGAACAAATTGGCGAGCTTGGGGCCTGGGGCAAGTTATTTTGGATGCGTGCAAGGGCACATTTCCACCGGACCGACGCGGCACACTGGGGTAGCAGAAATTCAAAAGGCATTGGGTGGCAATTAGGAAGCAATAAAGTTAAACGCTCACTGCAAAGTCACATGTTGTGCAGACCGTTGGCAGGCGATGTCTAGTGAATCCTCTTTTTGCACGCCCTCCGATTTCTTTTGCTGCATGCGACATCTGCGATCCTTGTTTGACTCCGAGAACATTGTCCTCAGTGACACTCGAGCTAAATTGAATGCTCCAATGTCTCCTCGTCCTGCAGCATCGATAATCAACGCAAACGTAACGCCCTGCCACATGTTGCAGCGTGTTCTGGATATTATTATTTCTCTCCATAAAATTGCTGCCATCATCCGTTGCAGACGCTCCCTGAGCAGTGGGAAGAAATCGGCGGTAATGATTCGTTTATCGCTGCTTGAGTGCGGAAGCTGTTAACATTATCATTGCATCGAGTGCACATCCCTGGAAAATCGCAGCAATTTTTATAATGTGAGCTTGCTTACTATTAATAAGGACTACTTTAAGAATAACCATATTACTTTTGTACTATAGGTTGTGTTATTTGCGATAAGCCCGCTATTGAATTGTTGAAGTAATCAAGAGATTCATTAAAATATATATAAAAAGTGATAAGAAAAAGCTTTCTAGGAATAATTTTATGTAATGATTTACTGTGCAATTTATTTATTTTACTGTGGAAATATACAAAAGTGGAAGTATTTAATATTAGCCTCTTTAAAAATGAAAATCAATTGGGTTTCTCGTTAATGTTATTGGGAAAGGACCGAATCGATAGTCAGGCTCAAGGCTTCGTCGAATGACTTGGATCCAAGCTTGCCGTAGAAGAATAGGAGTTTTCCGCGGTACTCCCCGGGAATGAGGAACTTGTGGGTCATTGAACTCCCCATGCGCCAGTTGTGCATGTAGTAGTGGCCCACCTCCACTGGGCAGTTGTACATGAAGTTGCTGTTCTTGCTCATGTCCTTAAACCAGCTCTTGAAGAGGCTATTCTTCACACTCGAGGTTATAGCACACACGTCGCTCTTCTGGCTGAAGATGGACTGAAAGTTCTTGGCGTTGGCCAGGCGCAGCTGAATGTCGAATTTGGTCTTAAAACCCCTCTGGATTGGCCTATTCAGATACATGTCCATGTTCATCATGTTGTCCACTATGGTCAATGAGAAGTTTTTGAAGTACTTCGGATTGAAAGTGCAGTTGCCGGTGAGAAACTGGACACTGCGCTCCTGCAGGATAACCAATCTAAATACCTTCCAGCAAAGGTCAAGGTTTGACTCACCCCCACAACGAGATCGATGCGAAAGGTCGATTGAATGAGAGCGAAGCAAACCAGCAATTTCCACATTTCCATGCCGTGAATGAAACGCAAATGAGAGCCCTCGAAATCAATTACAATATGCGGCTACGAGCATGGGACATTTATTTCCAAACCATTAGCCATTACCCATCGGACTCGGAACATCAGATATTTACGACAGCATCGGCCGTGCAGCTCATTATGAAGACCTCGTCTTTGGCCTTGTACCTGCCGAAAAAGTTGTAGGTTTCCAAGCGGTAGGACCCGCTGGTGATGAACGGCGGCACCAGGCCCTCCCCGAACTGCCAGCCCTTCAGGTAGTAGTGGCTCGCGTTCAGGGGACACTGGCGCAGGAAGTTGCCGTACTTGAGCAAGTTCTTGTACCACTTCTTGAAGAGCGTGATCTTGGCCGCGTTCACGATGTTGCACACGTCGACGCTGGTGGAGAAGAGGCTCTGGAAGCTCTTCGAGTTGCCCACGCGTGTGCGGAAGTCCAGCCTGGCCTTCCAGCCTCTAAGAAGGGGCTTCCGCAACTGCATGTCCAAGAACACCCTGTCGTTGCGGATGGTGAAGGAGAAGTTATCGAAGTAGTCCCGATTGAAGCGACTCTCGCCGGCAAGGAACTTGACGCTGCGATCCTAGGGGAGGTATGCCGGCGGTATGAGTTCTTACTGCCAAAGGTGCCCAGCCAATTTGGACTGCTTACCGCTTTGACGGAGGAGAGTACTATGGCCAGACACAACTGTGTTTCCAGCCTAGTCAGCTGTAAGATCCATCGACCCATCTCTGTTCACGAAAACAAGTGAGCAGTTTGCGTAACTGTGTTTCAGCCAAATATATTAATTATCCAGATCATCGGAGCCTAACTCTCCCATTACACACACTGAGTGCTCGGCTTGACTACTGTGATCGGTGGCCACCAGAACCCCTCAGAGCTTCAGGTCAGCACGGCCTCCACACTGCACTCCAGCAGCGGACTGTCCTTCTTGAATCTCCCGTAGAAGAAGGACCCGCCGATCCGGTAGTCCCCCAGGTAGAGAAAGGAGGGCACGTAGCTCGAGTCCAGAGTCCAGCCGTGCAGGTAATAGTAGCCCCTGCCAATCGGGCAGCTCGTGGCGAAGTTCCCCACCTTCAGCATGGAGGTGAACCACCGACGGTAGATCGACTCCTGGGCGCCCTTGATCAGGGCACAGTAGTTCATGTCGTGCTGGTAGACACTCTGGTAGGGCTTGCCCTTGGAAAGTCGGAACTCGAAGCTCAGGTGAGCCTTCAGGCCCTGCCGCAAAGTGGTGACCAGGATCATGTCCATCATCACCTTGGCCTTGATGATTTGGATGGTGAAGTTGGAGAAAACCGATCGGTTGTAGTTGCAGTCACCTGCCTTGAACGTCATTCTGGGGGCCTAATCATGGGACTCTCAGCGAGCATTCGCGAAACGAACTCAGTGGCTTACCACGCTTTGCCTAATGACAACGGTCACAACCATCCAGCCCAGAACAACGGGCATCAGATTCCCGTGGAACATGGTGGGGTGAGATCAACTCGAACACTACCACTAACAAGCGACTTTTGTTTATTGCAATTAGAGCCATTTAATGGGCTTGTTGCTCGATTCAGGTTGCGTGGTGGATTGATTAATCGGTCAAGTACGAGCCAGTTGAACGACGTAATTAACCTCGCACAAATCGGGCTGGGCCCCCAGCTATTTGTTATGCATTGTTGCCTCCACAGTGCACTGGGCGAGGAAGAGCTGTTTCTTGGTGCGGTACTTCCCGTAGTAGACCAGGGCCCTCAGGCGGTAGTCGCCGCTGAGCAGGTAGGAGGGCACCAGCGCCGTGTCGACGTGCCAGGCCCTAAGGTAGTAGTGCCCCGCCAGAACGGGGCAGTTCTCCATAAAGTTGCTGTGCTTGGTCACGCTCAACACCCAGCGCCGGAAGAGCGAGTCCTTCAGGGTCGAGAGCAGCTCGCAGTAGTCGGTGTCGGTCTGGACCAGGCTCTGGAACTTCTTGGCGTTGCTCAGTCGCAGCTGTACGTCGACGTGTCCTCGGAAGCCTGGCTTGAGGGCCTGAAGTAGGTTTATGTCCGCCGTGATCGTGTTGTTCACCGCCGTGACGTTCAGGGTGCCGAAGAACTTGGTGTTCTTCTCGCACTGCACTCGGTTCAGGATTATCGAGCTGGGCTGGTGGGGCAAAGTGGATTAAATGCTGTTCCGGTTGTTCCACCGCCTGATGTCCTTACCTCCGCCAGCGACACGAGTGCGCCGGCGATGATGAATGCCACCTTCAACATGGGTGCCTGCGATTTCAGGTCCAGGTGCAACGGCAGTCTGCTCCCAATTAAGCTCTTTTTTTGACTGCACGAGTAGGGTCCGCTGATTGGTTTTAAATTACCCCGAAATGGCGCACCGCTAAAACGCATATGTACGAAGCTTGGCTTTATTTTCATATCATAACCAATTGGCTTAGTCATTTCAGCAGGGCATATACGTCCAGGTCGAGAACGAAGTCCTCCTGCTTCGACTTGTGCTTCCCGTAGAAGAAGTGGGCACTCACACAGTACTGCCCGGGAAGCAAGTAGCTGGGCACCAACTGTGAGTCCAGTTTCCAGTCGCGCAGAAAGTAGTGGCCCGCGGGCACGGGGCAGTTGACCATGAAGTTACCGTGGCTCAGCATGCTGTCGAACCAGCTCTTGAAGAGGTTCGACTTCAAGGAGGACACCACGCCACAGGTGTCCAGAATGTGGGCGAAGAGCCGTTGGTAGCTCCGCCCTTTGTCGAGGCTGATTTGGGTGTCGATGAGGACCTTGAAGCCGCGGTGAATCGACTTCGAGGTGACCATATCCATGAACAGCGTGTTGTTCCTTATTTCAAGTGTGAAATTTTTGAAGTGCGACGTACTGAACCTGCACTTTCCCGTCTGGAAAATAAATGTTGACTGTGCCGAAAAGAACGAGATTCATTTGAGAAAGGCTTTTCAGCTTTGGAGGTGCAAATACTCACTGAATCTGTGGTTACCAAGTGATTGCAAACTATCAGGGCGGCAATACCGAAAGCTTTCAACATTTCCATGTTGATGTCGAGCGTGTAATGATGTCTGGATCAAATTTCATCCAGCCACCAGGCAGACTAAGCTAATTTTAATTACAATGGCAACATGAAACATTAGGGGTACCACAGGTCTCTTACTTTATTTCAATGTCAAAGGAACAGGTAACGACGAAATCTCTGATTCTGTCGATATCCCTTATCTGGTGCATTTCGAACTTCACCCTGTACTTGCTTGCGTATAAAAACCTTGGCATGAAGAGAGTGTTGTAGTTATAGTTTCTCAGGAAATAGAAATTCGGCTCCACCGGGCAATACTTCTTAAAATTTCCGGCATTAAAGAAGGTTGAAAACCACTTCTTGAAGAGGTTGTTCCTCCTTTGTGCCAGCATATTGCACATATCCAGCGAGTACTTAAACACTTTTTGGTACTTGTCAGTGTTGTGCAAGCTTATGAAGATATCCATGTCCATCATAACACCCGCCACCAGATCTCTCAACAAGTTAAGCTCCAAGTTTATTCTCGAGTTTTTAACCACTAGCGAAATATTTGAAAGATAGCTCTTGTTAAAGCTCGCACACTGACCCTCCTTTATCAAAACTGTAACCACCTGAAAGGACTGAAGAATGTGAGTCACTGAATGCTCTCTTTATCTAGAAATTTTTACCACGGGAGAAGGCATAATGAACAGGCATAAGCACGCGGCAGCTACAAAAGCACGTAAGCACATTTTAAAAATGTTCCGCTGGTGAGGTGCCGATTGTTTACTAAGGTACAAACTCATCGTATAGGCACTTAAATGTTCGATTTTGCCAAAACCGTTTAAAAAAGGGGACTTAAAACATTTAGTATCGATCGTTTATTCTGTTTAATCTGCTTTAATAAGCGCAAAGCAATCAGTTATTTTCAGATTCGAATAAAGAGTATTTCAATACCAGATTTTTTTTTACTAAATACAAAAGAGTTCAATTAAAAAAAGTATTTTATTTCTGACATAAATGATAACTATTTTGGGAAATTATTTACCTGATCAGATCATATTAATGACTGCTGTTCATCAAAGCATGGTTGATATTCAACTACATCAAAAGAGTAATCAGCACATTAACCGAATCCCGATAGTGTTGGAGCAATTACATATTTAGGGAATCAAAGTTCCATTTTTAATTAGAAACAAGCGTATGAAATTGAATTCAACTGCGTATCGGTAAGTATTTATACTACTGTAGTTTAGTGTTTAGTGTTTAAAGTTTGGTGCGTTGTGCGCACCTGATTGAAACAATGGAAATCCAACAGTGAAAGTGCTTAGCCACATAATATTACAGTACCATTCATGTTGATGTATTAAGCGAGTCTTTTAAAACAGGCTCCCTGCTGCCATGTGTTCTTGTCGGTGAAATGTACTTAAGCAAATCTTCCAGAAATTAGCGGTTAGATGATAACTGATTTTGGTTGTATAGATACTGCTCAGAGAAGCCTTAATTTTTTATTAAGTGCTCTGTTACATTGAAATACATCTAGTTAAATATCTATAAACTTATTTAAATGAATGCTAAATATAAAATTTTAGTGGTTGATAAAAATGAGATGCGTGTATGTTACTTTTTTTATTAGGAATACAATTGCTTACAAACAAATCGTTCACCTAACAACCTCTCTAAAAGCTTTAAAGCCTTTAATCGCTTGGTTTCTAGGGCTGCACCACCTCCACAGTCTTACTCTCGTGGAAGCATTCAACAAGGCAGTCAGCCATTCGTGGCGCTCATCCTAGATGCAGTCAACGTGTCTATGTTTACCCAGCGTAGAGCCCAACCCCGAATCCCAATCCCCAATGCCGCATTTATGTGCACGAACCACTGCAGAAAACAATTGCACGTAATTCTGCTTACGCCGTTACATTGCAACAATGCACAGCGAAAAAAAAAACAAAATACCGAACTGCCTAGCCATTTGTTAGCGTTTTCTGTTTTTCTGAATTTTTTCCCTTTTTGCCTTCCTGCGGTTGCGACAGACGGAGTGACGGAATGACGGAGTGGCAGAGTGACAGCGCGACAGAGCGACAGATGGATGGGCAATCCGACGGAGGGACGACGGAGTTGTCAGACGTCGACCTATGCGCTTAATCAGAATCGGGTCTGTCGAAACTAAGGCGCCATTTACCATTGTCCAACGATGTCTGGGCCCGGACCGTGCCTACTTCCTGTGTCCTGGTGTTGGCCAAATAAATGTCTTGCCTTCGCTCTCGGTGCTCCTTTTGTTTTCTGTTTGTCCCTCGTTCTGCTTTCACTCCGTGACTGACTGCCTTTTCCCATTTCTGTCTGCTTTTCCCACCGCCACCGCCACCGCCACTGCCACCGCTCCCGCCTCCATCTACATCTCCATCTCCGCCTGCATATTGCATTTATTTACATAGGCCTGGCCTGACTTTTGATTTTAAGCTCTTTGGCTCTTCTAACTCAATTCCCCGACGAGGCTTTAGCCCTTGCAGCTGTCATGGCGCCAGGTACCAGGGTGTGTATGTGTGTGTAAGTGTGTGTGCGGCTGTGATTGTGGCTGTGCGCTGCCTTATGTATTTACGGATGCAGTTACGTGCTCTGCCTCTGCGGGCTGTGCAAATAGGACACTTGCCCATTCTGTAGGTCGCCAGGATGCAGACTTTGGGCCCGTGACCATCACCGCAGTCCTTATGTGTGACTTTTGTTTCTTGAGCAGCTCGGATTATGTGGGCTGCCTAAAGAGGAGCTCTTTCTTTAATGCTTGCAACATACTTGGTAGTTTTACTCTAATGACATGTTTTTAGGTGACTGCTCATTACTATTGCTTGTAGGAAGAAATCTTCTTTGGAAAATTCTAGAAAATTCTATGGAACAGAAGTGCAACCAAAGCTGGGTTTGTGGGGTATATTTACCATAAACAGCTAAACTGGGATAAAAAAATGTTTTTTCCTAAAAATGCACAAAACCCTTTAAATCCTAAGCGAACTGGGCCATGACACCCCTCAGCTGCTATCATTCTTTGGTGCACCCAACTCTACTCGCAAAAAGCATGGAAAACGCCTCGTCAACGATTTCAACCACATTGCTCTGATTTTGCCCGACAATAAAGACTCCATCGTTCTTCCTGGTTTCCTTCGGGGCGCTCTCCTGCCACTCCAATTGAAAACGGCAATCAAAAGTGCAACGGAGGAAGACAATTTTCACACTTGGCATGAAAGAAATATATTTTGCTTGGCAAATATGCTGACCTGAACCCTCAGAGCAAACAAGCTGGCAGTGCAGTGGCACTCGTGCGAGCCGAAGGAAAACGTCATCATAAATGGCCAGGAAGGGCTCTGAAGACGGCAGGAGCAGCAATCAGGGCGCCTGGAAATATGCAATGCGAAAAATCAACACAGCACAACGATGAGAACGACCCCAATTACCCTCGTTCTGCGCTCTGAATGGGAAAAGGAGTGAAAAGCAGGAAAAATCCTTGCATATTTACAGGCGTTGGCATGAAAATTTGTCACCTAGCAGAGCAAACACCTCCGAATCCGAACGCAGGGCCCGAGTGTGAGTGTGGGTTCTCGTGTAATTGAGCCTACAGATATGCAACCAACGAGTATCCCAGTAATCGACACTTGGGCGCGGCAAACAGGACTCCGAACCCCTTCGATATCCTGGCGCCGCGATTGCGCCTACCGGCATGCAATTGTAGGGGCACGAGTGCAGTGCCGCCTGGAAATTTGCAAAGGGCTGATTGGCCGCTGCCAGCTGTGCTCGTAAAGTTTTCAGGAGCGATTCGATTGGTCCAAGGACGAACTTAAGGGCAGCTCCTGGTGCGCATGGGCGGCGAGAGAGAGCGAAACAGAGGTGCTCAGCAAATAGAAGGAGCGCCCCACAGTAGGCAATGCTTTTTATTTTTGTGCTGGCCGTGCCAAGGGTTGCGAGTGTGTGCGTGCAGGGCGATTAAAGCTCTGTGCGTGGTGAAAATGGACGGGGATTCACTCGCGAGTGGTGGTGGTTTTAAAACTCAGTCACTTCCTCGTGTGTGTGTGAACTAATTGCATTGGAATGTTTTTGTCTCGTCGCCCTCGTTATTGTTGTTATTGTCACTTGGTGTCTGTATTTGCATTCGTTTCGAGTGCTTGACATTGATTGCATTTGCAATTGGTATCATTGGGGCAGCTTGAATTACTCAACCATTTCCTAAGAAACGCAAGCCTAAAATTAGCCGTATATTGGTTTCTCTAAAATATATTTATATTGTTTAAATAATTTCTTTTGTTTTCCTCTTCTCCAAGTTTCCTAGAAAGTGCCGTTCAGATATTTAAACGCAGCTTATTCGCATTGCTTTTGTTTTTATTTTTCAACCCCAAGTAATACCCTTGGGCAAAGCTTTTGTGTAGACTTTGCTATCCGTCTCTCTTTTACTGCCATTTCTGGGTTGACTCTTTCTATATCGCTCTCTCTTGTTACTTGCTTACTTCAAAAAGTCTACACAGAGTGGAGTAGAATTCGCCGGGGCATAAAGAAACCCGAAAGCTTTTTATGCATTGCTCAAAATCCCCTTAATATACTAATGAAATACTACCTGACAGACTTCCATATTTAATAAAAACTGTCATTAACTCTACATTTTCTATCTTAAAAAATAGATGTAGAAACAATGGAAATAGCCAACACAGAGAAAAATTCACTTTAAAAAAACTCCACACCAATCAATCTAACAAAGACTTAAAGTTGAGCTGGCTCTGACATGAAAAGGAGTCATATTTTAACAAGGCTTGCTGATGGTGGAGGTAAAGAATCAGTTTATATTTTTTAAGAGTGATTATCCAGGTTATCCAGGAATTTTGAAGTTCAAAGCTGCCATTGTAATTAAGTTAAGAAGGAATGTAGGCTAAAGGTCACTTAAAAGTTTGGTTTTCGCCAATTTGTTAATGTCCTTGGCTACGATGTGTTTTTCTCTTGGTTTTGCGATACCAGTTATTACATTGAACGATACACAATTCTGGCCACTTAAAACCGATTTCCTTTTGAAGAAGTTAGTATAAACATAGCAAAAGCAAAATTCATCTAATAATCGACAATAATTGCAGTCAAAAGTTTGCAATCCTGTAAAGAAGACAACCATAAGATAGATGGGAAAATAATGAAACCAACAATATTACGTTGTTGTTGTTTTATTATAGTGTCTTGTGCAGCATCTTAAATTACGAATCAAATTTCAGGCAATTTAAAATGAATGCAGATATAAAATCAAAAAATATTAAACAATTTTTATAACGTCGTAGTTTTTTATCACACGTGATGATATTTGGGATATAGATTTTATTTTTATATTTTTTTAATGACTCTTGAACTAACTGAATATTTAGAAAACATATTCAAAAAAAATCATACTCCTGTGGTTTTAAGCATTTATTATTCATTTTCGGGACTTGCCGATAAACGTACGTGGCTATATCGACTCGTGTGGGGATTCTGATCTTTTTTTAAACACATATATCTACTATTATTAAATAAAAATCGAAAGCATGTGTGTAAAGTTATTTTAATCTTATATATAAAAATAAGTTGAAATTGTGTGTGTGACAGCATACCGCCTGCAACCGATTTTAATGCGGTTGATTGTGTGTAATAGAGCACCTCGCAAGGAAGGTTTATCGATCCTAAAATTTTCACATATATCAGTTCAATCTGGAAATATGCATTACAATTCTATGGCATGGCGTCTAAGTCGAACCTAAACAAAATACGAATAGCGCAAAGCAAGATTGTGAGATCGATTTGTAATGCCCCCTGGTTCATGAGAACAGAAGATATAGAAAGAGACCACAAAATCCCAAAGATTGGCGATGCTTGTCGAACGCATGCTGAAAACTACTTCAGACGCCTTGGCTCTCATCCTAACTCCCTGGCGAAGAGGCTAATTAGGAGACCAAGAAGAAGAAGACTTAAAAGATACCACCCACATGACCCTCCGTTATGATATATATAATATAATATAATATAATATATTTAATACCCTCCAAGTCTGATCTAATTTAATTACAAATGAATAGAATTTATGTATAATCTTGTATACCAATCCTTTGTTATCCCCTATATTTACAACCTGCTCAAGCTGCCACATATACACTTTTTACTTTTTTTTTTACTGAAAAAAAAAAAAATAGATTTAGTCAAAGAAAAGTTCAAGGGTGAACATGTTCTCATTCACCAAATACCAATCATTCCATCAGATATGCCATTTTAATTTAAACGTTTGCAATTTCCAACTCGTTTTGCATTTGCAAGGACAGTTAACAAGTCACAAGGCCAGTTTTTACAAGTGCGCGGTATTAATTTAGAGAATCAGGTATTTTCCCATGGACAACTCTATAAAGCCTGTCCTGATGGCACAACAAAAAATGTTGTATACTATAATGCTTTGCAATATAAATGGTTTGTGAAATAAAATACTTAGCACAATAAAAGTTGTTGTTGTTAAATTGTGTTGACCAGCGAAGCGGTCACGGGGCGCTAGTTGTTAATAAACAAAAATCGATCGAATATTATTACAAGTTACGCAATTTGAACAACAAATTAGATACTAACATACTCGGATTCTGTAAATGAATTGAACTTTGCAAACGGAACTTCCTTTTTCAAGTTTGTAACAAGATACAAAGCAAAGACCATTTATGAGTTAATCATGAATACATTTTGACATTTATGTGATGAGTCCACCAGACCAATCCCCCATAGAAAAACGCTCAAATCTATTTTAAAATTAGATAGGAAATTCCCTGAACTAAAAGCGCGTTTGTCTCAGTGTTTTAAAAAAAAGCTTCCATCACACTACGAGCTTGCAACGTTCTGAGGAGAGTGTGTAGAGTTCCGAGTGGGACGGTTGTACTTGTTGACAGTTTTGTTGTTTGAGGCGAATTCGCAAAAAGCAACATGTTCGAAGGCGAGTCAAACCAAATGCTGTTGCATACTTTGCTTTGGTAGTAAATTATACTGATTTTGATTGATAAAATCCATTTCGATATGGTATTATCGGACATGGAAAAATAAAACGGCCCTTTAAAATCAGGTATATTAAGTATATTTCAATTCTCAATCTTAGCTTGATGCTGTACTACTGGTTCACTTCATCGGCTGGCTGCTGGCTGCAATCGTCTCTTATTTGCTGAGATTTGATGTTGCTGTTGCTGCTGGAGCCACTACTTCGCAGCTCAGTTGCCTCCTTATTTGCCGGCTGGCAGTTCGTGGAGGTCCTCGTGCGAATTCGTCGTCTACGCTTTCGCCTCGTCATCGGCTGCCACAAGGACTCGTGCAGTTGGATAGGTTCGTGTTTGTTGCACAATTCGCCAGCGATGGCAAGCTTACAATTTTTCGGAATGCGTTAAGGATCAGTTTTGCGCGAATTACGGTCATGAAAGGTTGCTGACGACAAAGAGCCGGCGTCCGAAACAAACATTTTTCCAACTACATTTTCCAGTCTTTCCTTATGTGCGTGTGTCCGGTCCGCGATTCTGTTTGATATTTGAAGCATAAAGAAGCGTACTGAACATATCGTCTTTCGAAACTGACCTAGGCCAGGAAACTTTGAGAACATAACTGACCTAAGTCAAGCACTAGAAAACAACAACAGGACTTGGACAATATTGACAAAGTATAAGAAGTATAAGAACCCTTTTCAAATACTTAGTAATAGAATAAAGTAGTGTCGTAACTCGTAAAAGTGCTAGTCTAGTTCATTCTCCACAAAGCACTTTCTGTTTAATCATATCGGTTAGAATTGCATTGTGTATCCCAAGAACCATTTCCCTTTTTTGGAGAGTTTGACCATTAGAAAAAGGCAGATTACCCATCAACATTCCCAACATCGCTCGCTTAAACTTGAAATGGTTGTGAACTGTAGTAACAAAAGTGTAAAAAAATTTAAGGATGTCCTCACATAAAGTATCGTAGTTGACTATTTATTATACACTGCAATTCGTTTGTGCAGCATTTGAAAAGATAAGCTAAGCATACATAAAAAAATTGAAAACACGGAAAAGACTTAAATTTTCGGGCCAGTTTTCACATATTAAAAAGTGAGCAGTGAAAAGCTTAAAATAATTTCCAAGTTATACACGGAATCAGTGCGGTTAGAACCATTAATAAGAAAATGAATTCAAAGTGTTGGAAAATGTGAAAAATACAAATATCGAAGCAAATAACCTGTGAGTCTTGAGTTTAAATACTGATTAAATGGTAAGCAAAAAATTCTTTATATGTTCTCTACTGCAAAAGGGTTATGTTACTTATTTACTTTAAATCACTTTAAAACTAAAACTTTTTTAACAAAAATACAATTCCAATAAGGCAACAAAGAACTCGATTTATTCCGTACCTTTGAAATGACAATGTTTTTTATCGAGATATGATACAAGCCTTCTTTTCAAAATCCTTATAAAATTTGTACACCTCCGTAATTTTTATTAAACTTTTCTACGTGAAATGTCTAGATCTCGTAGATTCCTGCAAAATCGTCAAGTTATTTTTTGGCACGCACTTTTAAGTTTCGCCTTGTCTAAAGAAACTGAATGAGACGGTGAACCAAATATCTTAAAAACCTGAAGAGTCGATCTCTTGAAATCAAGACAAGATTATTTAGTAAATTAAAATGTTTTGCTCAGAAGGGATAATCTTATTGCTACACGTAAATATGTGATCCCCTTAACCATTTATTAGACTCCTTTTGCTTAACGCCACTATTGATTTTCTTGCCGCCTATTCGACACTTCAGATTCAATTAAAATTTGGGGACTAAAATTGCTCTTTGCCAGTTGGTCAAGTGCATCATCGGCAATTTTCGCAGTAGGCGGAAGGAGGAGATGCGGAATCGAGAGGCTTGCGACAGTTGCTAAACAAACGCCAATCCAAGCAATTTCAAAGTTGACTGCATTGCAACGGGCTGCGAAGGGGAGGAGTCAGGCCACATGCAATCCAGGGAAGTGATTTTTGCAGTGATCCGAGGCCAAATCCGAATCCGTTTGTGTGAAGTGAGTTGCATAAATGTGCAAGCTGTTCAAGTGATTTCGAGTGAAAGGCTCTGAATGAGACGTTGTCTGGCTTCGGCGGGTCCTGGTCCTTTATCAGCCTGTATTATTTTGTTGCATACTTTGCTGCGTCATTAAACCAATTGATGAACCTGGGCAGAAGCGATGGTGGGGTAAAAACGTGTTTATTACGCTTTGCGTGCCGTAAGTGGAAAATCAAATTTAAATTCCAGCAATGCTGGCGGCTGAAGTCCTCTCGAGTGGTTCTTTTGATTAGACTGCTGAGCGTGTAATAAAGGCTACATTGAAATACTTTAACCGATCTTTAATGTTAATTTTGAAGCGAGTGATTTTAACACATCGTGGGTGTATGAAGGTTGGGCGGCGTTGAAGTCAAAACATTTCATTAAAGGCAGCAGCGGACACTGTGAAAAAGTACACAAAAGCAGCTGAAAAGAAAATGTTGACAAAAAGCGTAAAACACACAACTCAATAGAGCACAAAATGAAAATGAAAATGAAAATGACGCAACATGCAAAGAGCAGAAACAAAACAAAGAGAGTTGTAACAAACTCGGAAAAAATGTAACCAAACCGACTGACCAGCGGACTGGAAGACCCACCGCCAGGCAGACAGACCATACAAATAAATACGCAGTCAAAGGCAATCAACGTCAGCCAGAAAGGCACGGAAGGCAGCTCAGCGCTCGTCCCTCTTGACAACTACCGATATTTGATTTGAAAACATTCCGAAAAACGCTGCCCAAATGCATTTTCCCGTCTGTTTTGAATGCCCGTCATCGTCATCAGCCGCATTTGGCTCCAAGGATCGCTGCAAATAAATAAATGGCAGCCATTGGCACAACAATTACATTTCGATGCAGACATTTCCAAATTTGTTGAGTTTTTGTTCTCTATTTCTTGCTACCGCTTTGTCACTTGATGTTTTAATTGGAAGGCAAAATTTCATTTGAAAGCTGGCCTGAGCTGTTAGACGTACATTAAAGTGTAAAAACGCCTAGGGGTCTGTATTTTTAGTTCTCTTCAAAGCTTATGATGCATATTTTTATTTTATAGGATTTTCACTAAGCAAATAACTTTTTAGACATTCAAAATATATATACCAAACCAAAACAAAGAAAATCTAATTCGTTCATGTACATTTTTAGAACTTATAGACTAGTCTTGATGACAAATATAAAAAAAAAATTAAAAATAGAATATTTGAAAACATTTTGTTTAAATAAATTTGTAATTTTACTCAATGGAATAAAATTAAAGTGCTTCTTGGAACTTAATCGTAATTCAATGTCACTGTAATTAAGTTAGAATAGTTATTCTAAAATATTGTTTGTTAAAAAAAAAGAAGTAAGACCGATGCTTCCATTAATTGTCTAAATTGTTCATGGAAGTTTGATGATCTAGTGGTCCGAATATAACATTGAAAATCTGAAATTCGAAATACATTCACGCTAAAGAATGTAATTTCTTTAATATTTATTTAACCAAAACAAAAAAAAAAAAAAAGACAGTAATTTTAACTAGCACTTGGTGGCTAACATCTTATAAATATTTTAATCCTGTTAGACCACTGGTTTGAGCGTTTTAAATTAAATAAAAAGTAACTCATTTTTTTAAATTTGAATATTAGCGAAACAATACCCAGAAAAGGAGCTAGCTTAGGCGAGCCGAAGGACTCCAAAATGGTTACAACAGTCATTTACTTAAAACGTCGCGTTATAGTTTTGTGCGTTTTTTTTTTAAATTTTCTCATTTTTATGGAAACTATAAGACAGTTTTTCGATCTTTATAGAAATAACTTTTAAATATCTATTGTCGAATTCCCAATTCCTATGTCAGTTTCATGATACGTTTAAAAAACTATATATTCAAAAAAATGTTCTTTTATTGTATAATAAAAAACCGCGTTTATTTAGAGTTTTCTTTCTTTCCTATAGCAGCAATATTATATAGTCATCCGATTTTTAAGTTTACAAAGAAACAGACAGACATTCGACGTACAATATACAATATACGTAAAAGAATATATTTATAGGTGACTCCTTCACTGCATTCTGTGCGGGTATAAAAACTTGATGTGTAAAAAAGAAGTGTTTTTATTTAGTAAACTATTTACGCCGTTAGTGAAAAGAACTTATGACTTATTTTGTCCAATTTAGAATGTTGCGAAAAAAATATTATGTATGCTATCTTGAAAAAAATCGTTACAAAATATTATAGCTGTTGCAGATAGTAGGGGAGATGTGGGGGTTGTGGGCATAGTTTTGTTTTTGGCTTATAATTACCGAACTAGTGCATATTATTTGGACATATGGGTATCTGTGTAAAGCTAGAGACCAAAGCTAACTAATTATGAAGAAACATACTTGATTTTGTCATGCGAAAAAATTTCATATGGACTTTTGTAAAATCGTAATTTTCAGCTAAAATTTTTTTTTGGGGGGGTTGTGGGCACCCTGGGAAAAAATGCTGCAAATGGAATAATATGGAAAAAAAACCGCAACCAATATCAACAAAATGACAATTTATTTATTTCAAAGACTACATAGGCGCTATTCATCGTCGGAAACACAATTTTGACATGTATAATGACTGCCCCGCATGTCCACACATTTCGGATGAAAAATGAAGAATAAAGTGTTAAAATCTTAGTGATAATCCCTCTCAGCGGGAGAGGATCCCTTTCCAAGAGCCTAAGATTTCTACAATAATGTTCTAGAGGGTTCCAAATAAATTTTGAAAACAATTTTACAAGAAATTATAGGTAATAAAAAAATTGGCCAAAAAAAAAAGGGGTGCCCACAACCCACCCAATTTTGGTGCCCACAACCAACTTTCGCAGGCATTTTAAGAAGTAATTAAAAAATGTGTTTGCATAAATTTTTTGGTTCAAATCGATATTGTTCCATTTAGTATAATGCTTTGACTAAATAAAAATGCATTACACTTACCTTTTTAATCGATTCACTTTAATTGATACACTATTGAAAATCTTTGAATAAAGTTTCACCACCTTTTCCAAGCAGAAAAAAAACCAATTCGTTCATTTCAAAAAGCAAACGCGTTCGTTTACTTTGATATTTGGCATAAATCATACATAGGGTAATTGCTTGCGAATGACATTACCAAAAAAATTCAATCTTCATTTTGTGAAAATATACGTAGGGGTGCCCACAACCGACCCATGCCCACAACCCCCACTTCTCCCCTACGTATGCAAGATCGGACAGCTGTATCATAAAAATAAAATATCGACGCATTTCCGCGAATGTATAGTATGTTGAAAAATCAAATTTTACAGGAGAAGCTGTTTCTTTATTTTTGTGTTTCGGTATTTTTGTGCGATTGCAGTATTTCCATGCAAATGAAAAAAAATTTGTATAGACATACGATAATTTCGCGCGCACATTGTAACATACCATAAAATTGAAACTTAATTTTTATCGGAACTATAGGGCTTTCAGTTATAATATTGCACAGGGTAGTGAGACATTAGGTGCCTAAAAATTTTGCATTAAAATCTCAATTTTGAAAAAAAGCGACATACGATACTTTCGCGGAAATGCGTCGATATGTACTAGTATGAAGGACATAGATGTTTTTGATTACAATTGAATTAATTTGTAATTTTATTATTTTTTTATGAACACTTTACGATTGTTTCTTATTGATGCCATCGAAGATATTACAATTTTTTTAGAAAATGAAGGGAAAAGAATTTATGACATTTTGCAATGTCGAGTTTTTATAAATTTCTGTAGTTATGAAATACATTGAAATAAATTTAGGAATAATTGGAGCAATTCTGGAAAATTAACAGGAAAATCGTCTTTCTTTGTTGTTATTAAATATTCGTGCATTAAGCTACACAACATAGAAAAGTAATGGAAATTATGTTATTTACACTCGAGAATTTCTGACCAGCTCGCCTCATTGATGACGTTATATAAAAAAATAAATATGAAAAAAAATATATAGGTATCAACAAAATTTTTATCTTTTGATCATTTTTTAGCCAGAAATAATTTTTTCAGTAAAATGGTAAATAGTTTGGGAATCATAAGCCAATGTTAGGAAATTCCGATCCTTTGTTCTTCGGCAAAGTAATACATAAAAGTAATGACATTCTCCAATGAATTTAAAGATATTTTCGGTTTCATTTTGCTTGCTAACAAAAGTAAAAAGTGAAAGT